CCCTTCCTGGAACAACCCTTGATGTGGGAGTCCCCTCTGTGTGCTGTGATTACCATTAATGAATAAAGAAACTACCTTGACCTGTTGATAGGACAGAACTTAGGTAGGTGGAGAGGACTGGACTGAATTCTGGGAGAAAGAAGGGCAGAGTCAAGGAACGCCATGGATCCGCCACTGGAGATAGACATGCTGAAATTTTGCTGATAGGCCATGATCTCATGGTGATACATGATTAATAGAAATGGGTTAAATTAAGATCTAAGAGTTAGCCAATAAGAATCTAGAGTTAATGGGCCAAGCAGTGATTAAATTAATACAGTTTCTGTGTGGTTATTTCAGTTCTGGGCAGCTGGGATGAACAAGGGGGCCCTCCTTGCAACAAACCCTGAGAGATACTAGTAAAGGAAAATTTTCACAGTGGACAGAACTTCAGGCAGTACACATGCCACTGCAGTTTGTTTGGAGAGATGTGCAATTGTTCACTGATTCCTGGGCTGTAGTCAATGAATAGTCAGGGACTTGGAAAGAGCATGACTGGAAAACTGGTGAGAAAGACATCTGGGAAAGAAGTATGTGGATAGAGCTCTCCAAATGGGCAAAGGATGCAAAGATACTTGTGTCCCATGTAAATGCCCATCAGAAAGTGACTTTAGCTAAGGATGAGTTCAATTATCAGGTAGTGGTTAGTCTCTTTCCCAAGATATTCCTGTCATTGCTCAATGGGCCCTTGAATGAAGAGGCCATGATAACTGAGATGAGGTTATGCCTGGGCTCAACAACATGGGCTTCTGTTCACCAAGGCAGTAAGAAGGATTATGTCTGGACAGAAGGAGATACTTTAGGGCATCTCTTAGTGCTACCGTATCCTATGATTAAAGTTAATGGAAAATTACAGCAACCTAATCCAGGCAAGATGACAAAGAGCACAGACCCATGAGGAACAAAGGTATGGATCATTTTTTCTGGTAAAAAGAGCTAAGATCTGTTGTCATGCTTTCCTCAGGTGGAGGAAATACAGACTAGGTAGTAGAGGAAAGCAGATCTAAAGATCATCTAAGGCCACGTGATCAGTTGCAGAAATGAGGATTATAACCAACACAAGTGCTTCTGATGTATTTTGCTAAGAATGTATTTGTGCAGATATTTGTTCTTTCAATATCCTTATCATATGTTGTAACAACTAAGAGAATACTAATAGATTGTCCCCTGAGGGACATTGCCACCTATTCTGAATTTAAAATTTGTTTGTGGTTATATGAGGGATAGTTATGTCATATTAGGTGCAATTATGACCTGGTTTGCTATAGAGATGCATATTGATACAAATTTAAAATCAATTTTGTTATACATGTATATATATATTTCTGTTCTTGATTAAAATATTGTGTTTTGCAGCTCATTTAAAAATGTAATACATAATTAAGAAATAAAGGTTAATAGATAATCATCTATAGTAATCAAGCTTATAGTCATGTTAGGTTTTTTAGATATATAGAGATCTATTTCAGTTAGATAGGTTTTCTTTAAATCTTTCAGAGACCTTCAGAAAATGACATTTAAAATATTTAAATTATTAACTTAAGACATCTCATGACAATGAAACTCATCTGCTTCTGGCAGCACCAATCTACTTCAAGAGGATGATGGGCATCAAAGAGGCTCCTTATGGAGTTTGTTAGCCATTTGGGCAAGAAACTGCTCTTGCCTGGACTGCTTAATGTTATGCTGCATAAACTCGGCATGCAGGATCCACAGAGAAATGACTGCTGGAGTTGCCTAAAGAAGGTGAGATAGTCCTTCAGGGTTCCTGCTTCATGAAAGAGTCTGCCAGACATTCTGCAGGACACAAAAGAAAGTGACTGACAAACTGCCAATATAGGTGGAACTGTCTTTGAAATTTCCTGTTTTATGGAAAAGTCTGCTGTATACTATGGACCTGTAGACTGAAGATGGATGCCCCAACAGTACAGAAGAATTTTGGGTGACTGTCCAGGCAGTAAGATGTCTCTGTCAATTCTAGAGTTTTGTAAGTTGCTTACAATATGCTTCCTGTTAACTTAGATAATATTATATCCTTCTGGAGTCTTTGATGGAGTTGAAAAGTAGATAGTTATAATTATAGTTTTCCTTGGTTATGACAAGAGATAAAGTAGATATAAATATTGTAACTATAATTCTTGCTTGATAACTCTTTTGCTATATGTAAGTTTACGATGCTAAAGTTAAAACCGTCTTTTTCATTTAAACAGAAAAAGGGAAATGGTGTAGGAAGTCCTTCTGCTTATGTTTTGCTTTTATTGCTTAATTAATAAAGAAACTGCTTTGGGCTTATAGCAGGACAGAACAGAGCTAGTCAGGGAAAACTAAACTGAATGCTGGGAGAAAGAAGGCAGGGTCAGAGAGACATCATGGAGTGGCCAGAGGGGAAAGATACAAGCTGCCAGCTGGGACCTTGCTGGTAGGCCATGAACCTCATGGTAAAATATAAAATAATAGAAATTGGTTAATCTAAGGGATAAGAATGAGCTATAAATATGCATAAGCTAATAGGCCAAGCAGTGTTGTAATTAATACAGTTTCTGTGTGGTTTTTTTGGGGCTGAGCAGCCAGGAACAAACAAGCAGACTCCAACAACACAGGTTAACATATAATGTGCTTGTGAGTGTACATGGCATAGTTATATTATGTTTAGGCATTATTATGACCTTGTCACTGTTTTTATTTGGAAATTAATCATGACAAAGGAGATACAATTGTGTGTCCAGTTGACAGGAGGTGGATTTTGATGACTATTCTTTGTTGTCAAGTTGACTATATCTGGAATGAACTACAATCCAGAAATGGAGGCACATCTCTGATCCAGATATTGTGGCAGGAAGACAGAATGCCTTAGATCTGGATCTTGAGGTGGAATGACACACACCTTTAATCCAGACCTTGAGGCGGGAAGACACATTGATAATCTGGTCCAAACCCTCTGCTGGAAGCCTATATAAAGACATGGAAGAAAGAAGGATTGGTTCTTCTTTACGTGCTTGCCCTTGCCTTGTCAGCACCTCCATCCCTTCATTGGCACTGGAGTGGAGCCTACTTCTTCAGGGTTCCAGCATGTACAGAGGACCAGCAGAGACACCAGCCCCATGGGACTGAACAATTACTAGATTCTTGGATTTTCCATTCACAACAAACCTTGGTTGGGTTAGTTGGATTGCAGCCCTTAAGTCATTCCAATAAATTATATATATATATATATATATAATATTTATTAAATATTTTTAAAATTTATATGTGTGTGTGTGTGTGTATGAATAGAGGGATTCTTTCTATAAGTTCTGTGACTCTAGAGAACCCCAATTAATACAAATGGTTTACCTATGCTTGAAAACCATCCAAGGTGACCGAGGAAAAATACCCTGTGAATTGTTCAGTGGTGATGGTTTTGGTCCTAGCCAGATGGGATTCCTGATGGCGCCCTTCACAGTGACCTTAGGGAATTCATGAGGCATGAGGATCTACTTACTCTGCAGGCAGCTATCTGTAGGAAGTGGAGTGATCCAGACCTAGGATTTATGCATGAAGCCTGGCCTGTTTCTCCTGAGCTCTACATGCATTTGGGATACAGACTGGGACATGTTCTTTCCACACACTGCCTTTTACAGACACTGTCTCTTCTCGTATTTGCTCTTTTTCTTTCATTCACAGCCAGCCATGCCCACTGCCACTCCAGACCCTGTGCCAGGGACCCCAGAGATCTGGATCTCTGTCTCCTTCCCTCACCTTTAGTATAAATGAGAACACGTGGTAAAAGACATGGTAGGATGAGAACACGTGGTAGAACACACAGTAGTATGAGAACATGAGAATACATGCTAACACATGTTAGGATGAGAACACGTGGCGAAACACATGGTAGTATGAGAACATGAAAACATGTGCTAACACATGGCAGGATGCGAACATGAGTATACATGCTAACACATGTTAAAATGAGAACATGAGAACATGTGCTAACGCATGGTAGGATGAGAACATGAAAACACATGCTAACACATGGTAGAATGAGAACATGAGAACACATGCTAACACATGGTAGGATGAGAACATGAGAACACATGCTAACACATGGTAGGATGAGAACATGAGAACACATACTAACACATGGTAGGATGAGAACATGTGCTAACGCATGGTAGGATGAGAACATGAGAACATGTGCTAACACATGGTAGAATAAGGACATATGCTAACACACGGTAGGATGAGAACATGAGAACATGTGGTGAAAGACATGGTAGAATGAGAACACGTGCTAACAAATGGTAGGATGAGAACATGAGAACACATGGTATCACATGGTAGAATGAGAACATGAGAACACGTGCTATCACATGGTAGAATGAGAACATGAGAACACATGCTATCACATGATAGAATGAGAACATGAGAACACGTGCTAACACACGGTAGAATGAGAACACGTGCTAACACATGGTAGAATGAGAACATGAGAACACGTGCTATCACATGATAGAATGAGAACATGAGAACACGTGCTATCACATGGTAGAATGAGAACATGAGAACACGTGCTATCACATGGTAGAATGAGAACATGAGAACACGTGCTATCACATGGTAGAATGAGAACATGAGAACACGTGCTATCACATGGTAGAATGAGAACATGAGAACACGTGCTATCACATGGTAGAAAGAGAACATGAGAACACGTGCTATCACATGGTAGAATGAGAACATGAGAACACATGCTAACACATGGTAGGATGAGAACATGAGAACACGTGCTGAAACACATGGTAGGATGCTTCTGGCCCAAGCACACAGACTGGCTCCTCCTGTCTGGGTGGGGAACAAATCTGGTAATCTTTGTTCATCGCCCAGGGCAACACACCCAAGCAGACAGGGACCCTTTCAGGGGAGAGGCGACAAAGGTGAAGGCTGGGACTTTCCAGGGATTGTAGCTAAGAGTCAGTACTTACCTGAGAGTTAGCTGGGGCACTAGACAAATCCTGTGTTCTCTGCTGAAAGAGAAAATTTGAATGACAATGTTAAATGTAAGATTTAAATGATAGTTGTTTAAATTAGTTTTATCACCACCAGCATTATTGATGTTATTTTTGAGATAGGTCTTGGGTAGGCCAGGCTGGTTTTAGATTCACTATATAACCAGTTGGGGCTGGACTTGAACTACTGATCTTCGTGTTTCTACATATGGAACATGGAGTGCTGGCATTCCAAAAATGTGCCATCATCCAAGGCTAAAATTAGTATTATTACTGGGAGTCGATGGGGTAGGAACAGCTCAAGAATTCCCATCTAACAAATTAAAGCTTAATGCCAACAGCAAAATCAAAGAAGCTACTTCAGTCTCATAAGGCCACCACCTAATCTCCCACTAAGGGTTTTTAGTCATGGCCACTCAAATGTATTTCTCAACTTCACTTTCACCTCAGCCTTTAGAAGCCATGGTCTCTCGCACCTGTAGGGGGTTCCCAGAATCTCTCCCACTTGACAGAGGGCATTCACTCTAGAATTTTTTGATTGAAAATATTGGTTTAATTCATTCTGTCTGGAGGGTTTCTCTTAAATATATCTACTTCTTTTCCATACCTATTTTTATGGACCTGTACATCTCTCCAGAGAAACAGGTGATGTCAAACTATTATTGGACCCAAAACAAATTCCACTCCCTGGCTCTTGGTCCTCAGGAAGCCTTTGTTGAGTCAGGCAAAGAGGCAGCATCTGTTTTTTACAGGCCGGTTTGAACAATTCTACCTCTCCTCCAACATTAATGGCTCTCGGCCATTTTTCTTCAGTTTGACCACCCAGGATGTATCAGCCTTGACCACAAGCTCCTTACCCCAGAGTAGCTGAAGTGAGCCTGAAGCTATGATACACCAATTATAGCCCAGAACACCTAAGGCTCAAAGAGTTCTGGAGTCTGGGTGATCCTAGAGAGGAAATCTATCACCTTCTGTAGCTCTCCTAGGGCCATAGCCCTGAAAATCAAATGAACCTAAGGCACCCAGGGCTGCAGCTCTTCCTCTTAATGGCCTTCCGAGCTCTATTCACAACTCAAAGAGCAGCCAGACCAACTGGACGTTTAGAAGAAAAAATGGACTTCACATTGCTTTGCACATTCATTGGGAAGATTTGTCATCCTTCCCTTCTGTGACACAAGCCATCTCAGCCCATAACCCCAGTCCAGGGGCAAGAGCTGGAGACAAGCATGATCTGCGGTCCAATCACCTGAGAAGGGGGCTCTCACTGTCACTGTTCTAGAGTCTCCCATGTCACACTGTTTGTTATTCTGTAATGTAAGCAGTGACTGGGACACAATCTTTGAGGTCCCTCGGGGCTACGGTTTCTATCTTCTGTGCAGACCATGGGTCTTCTGTGTATACCTGGCAATTGTGCATTAAAAGATGAGTAAATATGGCTTCGCTTGGGAAAAGAGAATCCAGGTGTCTCAATGCAGATATTAGCATACAGAATCTGTGGTTCTGGTAACCATACCGGGCTGTCTGACACACACCAGCCATCACCAGAAAGCTTAAATGATCCTGTATGAGCTGGGAAGTTGTCATGTGACACCGAGATTGACAAGAAAGATTCCAGAACCCATGGCTCTGAGCAGATGAAGAGGCCCTAGCAGGATTATGAAAGTGGAAATGGATCGTGGCTTCTCTTTCTCTGAGAATCCTGTTCTTACTAATAGAGACTCAAAAGAAAAGGCAAGAGCCCCTGTTGCTATGAAACGCTGCATCCAGGAATAAAAATGGTTCTGTGGGTTGGACAATTCTATCTCATTTGAGTCATTCAGAAAGAGATACTCTTAGAATTTAGAGGGAGGTAGAGGATATGGACTTTGAAGTAGTCATTGACCAGGTTGGGAGGTAGTTTCCTTTCAGGAAACTGAGTGATTGATATGTCCCAGTGGTTCAGAATCCAAACCAGTCAGACAATAATGCAAATGACAAATAATACACAGGCCTGAAGTTCAAATTCACAGTGAGCTATGAAGCATAGTATGGAGTGTTTTGCGGCCCATTGAAGTCTATGTTGGTGATTTTTTATCATCTCCAGCTCAAAGGAGTCAACACTGAAGGAAGACCTGACCTTACTCACAGCCTGAGTGAAGACACAGGCTGAAAACATGAAAAGAAATAGTAGAGGAAGGAAGAAGGGTGACTTTAAGCTTGACAACCCAACCGAGACACCATAAAATAAGAAGTTTTGTGAGTAAAACCACACGATAAGAACTCACCTTTTTTCTCTTGCCATAAATTCGTGGAGAATTGGGGAGAAATTTTCTCTGCAAGACAGAAGGATCTGAGCATGTATTTCAGAGGTGTGAATTGGGAATTGAACCTCCTTCCAGAAGTTCTGCCTGGATCTTCCATTCAGACCCACGTTATCTGACTCCATTCCCCTCTCATTGCATACAACTTAGAGACAGACGCTGGCCTGTGGCAGCTGGAAAGACCTCACATCTCTCTTCCTCAGTTCCTGAGAATTTTCGCTTACAATCCTTGTTCAACCATTACACAATCTCTGTTCCCACTAGACACAATTCAGCTTGTTCCACACCAGGACTAGGCAGCCAACACACATGTGTTTCATGCATATAGGGTGTCACATGTTCTGATGAGTTTGGAGCACATAACAAAAATTTGGTTATGAGAGATAAAATAGAAAGTTTGTGGAAGATACACATTCTCTCTCTCTCTCTCTCTCTCTCTCTCTCTCTCTCTCTCTCTCCTTTTTGAGAAAGGGTTTCTCTGAGGAGGTCTGGCAACCTACTCACACTGTAGACAAGACTGTCTTTGAACTCAGAGATCCAGCTGCCTCTGCCTCAGGAGTGCTCGGATTAAAAGAGTATGCCACAACCACCAGCACAGAGAATCAATCTCACTGTTTAAGAAGGGTCTCTGTGAGGTGAGGGCCCAGTCAAGAAGGGGTGAGATATTTAAGCTAAGAATTCGAGGATAAAAACTAGCTTGTAGGATAGGGAGATGTTGATATCATGTCTATGATAGTCTATTACCTATAACATTATAGATGTGTCCTGCTTAGTTTGGTTGTCAACTTGACATACCTAAGAAGAGAAAACATCATTTGAAGAATTGTCTATCTCAGATACCTATAGGCATGTCTCTGGGGGCATTTTATTAATTGTGGATTGATGTGGCAAGTCCACTGTGGGTAATGCCATCCCTATTAACATGGGCTATGATGAATAAGAAAAGCAGTTGAACATGAGCCAAGGAGCAAGCCAGTAAATACTGTTCTTCTGTAGTTCTTCTTCAGTTCCTGCTTCCATACTTCTACCTTGTATTCCTGCCTTGCCTTCTCTCTATGATGGACTTCTGCCTATAAGCCAAATAAACTCTTTCCTTCACTATGTTGCTTTAGGTCATAGATTTTATCAGAGTAACAGCATGCAAAGTAGAACCAGGATCGGGTTAGCAGAGAGCTGACGTCTGCTTTAGCTTACATGGAGACCTGAGTTCAACCCCTTCATACCAAATAATGCTGACAATCACAATGATCATATTAAATCTGCCATTTTTAACCTCAAGGACATCACTGATTCCTTGTATACATTTCAAATTTGAGATAATTTGGATGGCACTAAGTTCCTGCACGAACATCCTGAATTGATGGTTTATATCACATAACTCATCCCCCTGCATCCACACAACTGCTTTTGGTGCAGCTGCTTGCATGTCTATCTCTAGATTCCCTTTCACTTGTCTGACAGTCAACTCTTCCTTTGGCTTCAATGCAGAAATTTCTCTGCAAGAACCCCAACCCAGAATGGCCATTTCCTCCTCAGAGATTCTGTATCTATCATTTGTCAACACCAGCAAGGTGCATCTCCCAGAAATGAGGCTATGGATGTGGGCAGCCTCTCTTCTGAGTGATAGGAAAACCTGACCTGCATGAGGATTTCCCATATCTCATAGCTATTTGATCTGTAAACAGTGCAAGAAGAAAAGGCACTGACTCCCCTCTCCCTTCCACTGCAATACCTGGATCAGGAATTTCAGGGGCCAGTTGTAGCTGCGCACACTCAATTTCCAATTCTTTGATCGTCCAAAGCCTCCCAAGATTTCAAACTCTCTAGGTGTGTACCAGTCCCCAGCTTCACTCTGTATGGACTTTATGGAGATCCCTGTAAAACCACAGTAGACTGATCATGAGTCTGCTTTGTCCCTGGAGCTCAGTTCATGGCCTCCCACCACACTAGAACTGGAGCCACCCAGACAGTGCTCAAAGTCAGTAGCCGAAGAGTCGCCCCCCTCTCTGGCTTCAGGAGTCCCAGCTCAGCCCTGGAGTTCCCTAAAGGGCTTTGTTGAAGCCTTCCATGTTTCTTTGATTTTCATGCCTGAAGAAAATGACAACCGCCACCAACAGATACCTTTTAAAAACTACTTCAGGCTCACGTAGAAAAGGACAAGGTAGTGACTGACTGCATGGGGTGCGTGGATTTCACCCTGGTGTTGATCTCTCGGGCTGGAGAAAAACCCATCCCAGGAGGCTCCCGGAAGGTGGAGGTGGGGTCCTCATCTTAGAGCTGAGGCTGCAGTTGGATTTTGCAACCCAGGAGTTCCATGACATCATTGTCTACCCAAATTAAAAAGACTATTGAACAGGTGCCCATCACTGCAGTTGGAGGTAAAAACTAGTAAACATAAGTAAATATTGTCCCATGAAAATATGGACTACCGTTAATAAAAAGATAGTCATATTTGGGGCATCTTCATTGTTATGAAAATGCAAGCAAAATCACAACACCGTTTCACATACCACCAAGATGATCGTAATAAAAAAACAAGAAATAGTAGCTATTTGTTGTAGGGAAGTTGAAGTTCTCACACACTGCTGTAACTGAAAACAGTTTAACTATTACCAAAATATTTGGTAATTCATTACTGAGTTCAACATATAATCATCAAATGACCTATCAATTCCACTTCTGTGTGTATGCCTCAAATTCAGTGTGTATACACAAATTATCAAAACAGCATTATGAGGCAGATTGAAGAATAAATGAGGAAAATATGAAATAGTCATACAATGGAATATGGCATTACTTGTGAGTTAAAACATATTTTGCATAAACTACACAGATGAGGCTTGATGTCATCATGCTAAGTGAAAGCAGGCAGTCACAGGTGACATACACTGCAGCGTGTCACTTGTATGTAGTGTGTAAGGAGGCAAATTTACAGGACAGGAATTAGCAGGGTGAATGTTCAGAAGAATTAAATGGGGATGAGTATCAACTCCTAATAGACAGGGGGGGACAAATATGTTTGCATGGTAATTTTTCTATGTACCAAAGAATAAACCCCCATTGATCATGGACTCTAAGTGCTGAATTATATGGTATATGAATTATAACTCAGTACAGCTGTAAAAATTGGGACAATGTATTTCTGTCAACTGCCATCCACAGGTTCATAATAAAAGAGATCTGAGGTGAAGTCCATCATAGTAGGTTTTGGCTGAGGGGGGGGGGATTTTTGTGGATTTTGTTTTTGTTTTTTGCAAACCAGAATTTGTTTTACCAATAATATAAGTTATTCCTCATGGATATACCGTGGATCAGGCTTTATATTGTTGTCCTCTATTTAACAACGAGAAATTTCATGCCCAGAAAGCCCCGCCCATACAACAAAAAGAGACCTCTTCTCTTGGCAAAGCTGAGTCTGGAACTTGGGTTCTCTGATTCTCAATCCTGTGATGCTCTCACCATGACAAGTGCCCTGCCCTGGTGCTACTGACACAGGGATGTGCAGGCAGAGGCTGAGGGTCCCTCCCCATTTATGCCTGACTGAAGGAAAATATGCAGTAATTTCCATCTCTGGAGGGAAGTTTCTCTGGTTCTCTGGGCATCTCATGGCTCCATCTATGTTACTGTGAGCATCTACTAGGCATGGTTTCTTCAAGCGTTAGGATTCCTCCTGTTTTCAAGGCACCTCCCCCAGTTCCTTAAGTAATTCCCTTATTGCTTGTGATGTTTTTATTTAGCAGTTGTGAATTAAAACCCACGCTACCGGGGGCTGGAGAGATGGCTCAGAGGTTAAGAGCACTGACTGCTCTTCCAGAGGTCCTGAGTTCAATTCCCAGCAACCACATGGTGGCTCACAGCCATCTATAATGAGATCTGGTGCCCTCTTCTGGCATGTAAGCATACATGGAAGGAATGGTGTATACATAATAAATAAATAAATCTTTAAAAAAAAAAGAAAGAAAGAAAAGAAATATTTATAAAAAAAAAATAAAATAAAACCCACGCTACCTACCTTGCCTGAATCTATTCTTGTGTAATGTTCCCTTCACGTCACCACATGTCACAGGAAGCAGCTCAGCACTGAAATCTGCATTTTCATTTCTGCGCCTTCTTGGAACTGAAAAAGAAGATTTCTTCTTTTGTCTCACTTTGGAGGTGCACATGCTCCCTCTTCCTTTAACACTTTGATCCTCAGATCTCTAACTTCTAAGTCTTTCTTGCAAATGGCATATTGGCTACGTAATGACAAATATTTTACCCCTAATTGATTAAAAAAAAAAAAGGTTTAGCAGAATCTTTTGGCTTTGATAAACTGTACCGATTCTTACTCCAGTGACCACACTGATTGCTACATGGCCATGAATCAGGCGCTGTCTGACTGTTCTATTGTACTAATGATGGTAGGCAGAGATGGTCCTCTTATCTCCCCCCCATTTGAGCTCTGACTGGGCTAGCAGGGAGAGATGATGGGCAACCTAGCAGAGTTGGGTGGAATTATTCCTCTTTCTGTCTGCTCTGCTCCATCTCTCCTTCACAAAAGCATTTTCTGTCTGTAACTGAGAGAGAATCCCAGAAATTTGTAGAATAATCTGAAAGCTCTTATGTAGAGCAGAGCTACAACTCCGTAGACATAGAGATGAAAATTCCTCAAACAAATTTCTGGGAGATGAGAAGCTGTTTGCCCTGATGTGCAGAGACCGTGATGAGGGAAGGGAGCACTGTCTGTGATGCTAATACTATTTGAGGAGTAACTGATCAAGACTACAATGGACATCGGATGGTTGACATAAATCACCCTCCTCTTTACAAATGGAGAAACTGAGGAAATAAGAGCCCAGGGATAGGCCGAAGTCCATGTAGTCACAGAAGAGAAGGCTTGGACCCAGGTCTCTCCCACCACTCTGGGCCACCTTGATGTGCATTCACTGGTGGGTGATACCCGTGTATGGCAGAGATTGTCTCCACTCTTCCCGGTGAATGGAGGCAACATTACAGTGGCCCAGAGCTCTAGGTCTTGTTTCAGCTGCATCATCAAGATTCTAGTTTCTCAGAGACAGTGAATAAACAGGCAATGTCTCCGTGGTTAATTCAGCTCACAAAGCTGTCATGGAAACTGATGCTCTTGCTTCCTCTCTGTAGATGGTGGGGGCACCAGCAGCAGAAGGGCTTCCACTCAGGAACAACTTTCCAAGGGGTCTCCTTCCTCCCCCTCCTTCTGACAGCCCACACCCATAGCCCACTGAGAAGAATTATCCCTGCAGCCATTCATCCTCCATTCCAGCTCTAGGGATTGGGAAGTTACAGGGCCTGCTCAAGGTAAGAAAGAACTCACCGAAAGGGAGGAGGAAAAGGACTATGAGAGAGTACATTTGCTTTCTGCTTATAATTCACCAAGTCTAGACATTTTAATAGCCAATGTGTAAACAAAAAGCATTTTCATAAAAATCAGGTTCAGCAGGGCGGTGGTGGCACACGCCTTTAATTCCAGGACTTGGGAAGCAGAGGCAGGCGGATCTCTGTGAGTTAGAGACCAGCCTGGTCAACAAGAGCTAGTTCCAGGACAGGCTCCAAAACAACAGAAAAACCCAGTCTCGAAAAACCAAAAATAAATAAATAAATAAATAAATAAATAAATAAATAAATATCAGGTTCAACTCAAAGGTAAGGAAGAAATTAGGACACACAAGATTGATGATATAAATACAGTTCATATTCTTGCTCCAAACACCTTTGCTTTTAGATTTTACTGCTCTCAAATTGATAGATAAGTCTGAGTAGGAAATTTTAAGGCTTTAGAAACCTTAAAACTTTAACAAAATCTGTGTGTACTTGGGGTGAAGGGAAAGACCCACAGAGGCCATCTTACCCCTGGTCTTGGCGGAACGGCCTGGATTCTTTTCTGTTTTCTTTCTCCTGACAGCCGCCTGGCGACGAACTCTGCTGACATCTAGGAGAGACACAGGCAAATGCAGATTGATCCAAACAACAGCTGATAATGGGAAGGAACAAGGGAGCCTCTTTGTTACGTCAGAGTACCTTCTGCACACACTGCTGATGAGAGCTCCTGACAAGGAGCAGTGTCCAAGCAGGCAGAAGGCTAAGTTAAAGCCTGTGAAGGATTCTGTTGTATTAACACTTTAGAAAGGGCTGTCTACATAGAGGCTTGAATGAAAATGTGGTTTCCAAAATATGTGTTCGAAAAATAAACACAGCCATCATTTCTCCTTTCTAAGCAAAAAATATACATATCAATCAATAGCACAGCTGGGTCATTGTCAAGAGTGTATGATTCTTAGTTTGGTGAAATTAATATTGAGTGGGATTCCAAAGCCTGCTTCATGGATCTGATGCAAAATTGATAATCATTTAAAAAAAGACATTTAGCTTTTGTCCAAGAAAAAGAAATCCCTTAGACTGTTACTAAAATCAGATGGTAGGGTGCTGTTTGTAAATATATACAAGTTATAGGAATAACATTGTAGGAAACATCACCATGTAGATACTTCTGTGATTAACCTGTTCAAAAACCTTCTAAGATTGATATCTCTCTCTCTCTCTCTCTCTCTCTCTCTCTTTGCATATAAATGTTTACATGTTGTGGTCCTTTGTGTGCCCACAAGCAGGTGTGCCTGAATGTGTATGAAGGCCAGATACCAAAGTCGAGCGTCTTTGTCAGTGGCTCTCCACCTTAACTGTTGACAAGGTCCGACACCAAAACCAGAACTCAGCAATTTAGCCACCTGAGCTTGCTGTTTAGCAAACCTGATGGATTTACCAGTGAAGAACTGCGGATGTGTAATCATGTCCAGTTTTTTATGTGGGTGCTAGGGATCCAAATTCAGGGCCTCAGACTTGTGTAGCAAGCACTTTACCACTGAGCATCTCACCAGCCCTTCAATGAACATTTGCGAAAATGGAATGTCGATTATCTTTCTATTTCTAAGTACATTTCTCTCTCTCTCTCTAGACAGATACATAGTTACATTAAAAGGCAGGAATTTATAAACAAAATGAATGGTTTCATGCTGTGGTACATTATTTTAAGATGTGTTACGTTAGTTTATGCTGTAGAACATTTGTTTTAATGATGCAAAGATGTGCTGCATTCTTTTATCTTGCATTTGTTTAACTCTGTGAAGCTGTGTTACTTTCCTTGTCTAAAACAGCTGATTGGTCTAATACAGAGCTGAACAGCCCATAGCAAGGCAGGAGGATGGATAGGTGGAGCACATACACACATTTACACATATACAACTGCAACCTGTTTGCTTCATTCAACCTTCTTTGAAACATTTTTTTCAAACCAACAAAAATTTCATACTGAGGATGACAGCACCTCCCTTTCAACTCTGAACCACTTACTGTTGGATGACCATATGTATGAGAAACTAACCATTTGTAAAAGACATTATAATATCACGACTCTTTGTTACAACCTCTTAACCCATGTCTGAGAGAACCTACATAAACCTTGCGTGGGAGGGTGGAGGTTGCTCAGGGGCTAAGAGCACCAGTGAGCAAACATAAGGACCTGAGTTCAGATACCAGCATCAACATAAAAAATATGTATGTGTGCACCTATAATGCTAGTATTAAGGGACTAGAGACAAGAAGCTCACTGGGGTTTACTGCCTGACAACCACCAAAGGAATAAAACAGAGAGAGAGAGCAGGACATTCAACATCCTCCTCAGGCCTATACTTGTGGGTGCAAGTATGTGTGCCCATATGCACAAGTGTGAATACAACACACATACACACACACACACACACACACACACACACACACACTATTAAGGCTCAGAAATTCACAGGCCTCCAAGCATGCAACAGGCAACACCTTAAAAAACTCAACAGCTGTAACTCTGTCCAGCTGCTTGCTTACTATTTGGCAGTACAGCTTGTGGCCTTCTCCGTTTTATTCTTGACCAGTTGTGGCCTTTCTTCTTTCCTACAAAACAAAAATAATAAAATCAATTTTTCAGGGATATAGATGTAATTCTCTTAGCCTTATATGTCAGACATATTCAGATACTGTTTTCAAACTTCAGATCCTAGAAATGAGGAAGAATTCTAACAACAGTTTAGTCACGTGAGGGTTTGTCGGGGTCCAGTCTCAACGAAATTCAGAGGTAGAAGCACAAAGATTAGAATTATTGAGCAATGGGAACAGAGATATGAAAGAAATAAAAGGCAGAAACACAGAACAGCATCGGGAGGGAAACTCAGTGTGTGCTGAATTTATTTATTTTCTGCATGCTTATACACTTCACTCCAAAAGCGGAGGGAGAAGGCCACAGACCTCATTAACATGACATAAGGAATGAACAAGTATCCAGTGGCTGTGATTGGTGAGTTTTTTCTCTTTTTGTCAGCTTAACTGTTTCTCTGAAACCAAGGACTTGACCGTTGATCTCCCAGCAACCCTATGGTATTCCTAGAAACGGTGAGGGGGGGATGCCCCCAACCACAGCCTTCAAGACTACGGTTGAGCCCTTCACTGACATTCATCTCTGGTTATTCCCCATGGCTAAGGACTGAGATTTGACTACTTGCCACTCTGACTTTTGCCCTCGTCTCTCAGATTGTTGTCCTCTCTCGGGCCACTCAGAGTGGTCCTATCCAGTCCTCAATTCCTGATTGACTTCGACTTAGCCCTCGACCCTCGCTTTATCCCAAAGATGTTCATGATTGCCATTGGGTCCTCGCCTTTCTCACATTTTTAGCCATGGGAAAGGAACCCTCAAAAACTATCAGTCCACCCTCCTCCCTGGGATGTCCTTTAGAGACCCTAAATCCTCAAAGCTTAATGCCTTACTTACAGATTCCCAAGCTTATCCGCCTTTATACTAAGAAATGCCCTAAGAACACCTAAGATAATAACCTAAAGTGGCCACCTAACGGCACCTTAGATCCCGATATTCTGACGGTGCTTTCTAACTTTTGTCAGTGCACAGGCAGATGGAAAGAGTTATCTTATATCCAAGTCTTTTCCTATCTAAGTTCTAAGCTCTCTGTCCTTGCAAGATGTTCACCTGCTCACATGTTCCTGACTATGCCAACTAAGCCAATAGGAACATCCGCTTCTTCTCTGGACCCTGTTAATGAAACCCTACTCTTCAAACCTCAGCCGACAGCTACTTCTACCTCTCCAGTTCTCTCACCCCCCCCTCCCCCACCCACCAACTGCTCCGTTAGCCCCTCTGGATCCTTCCTCCTTTCTAGTGCCATGCTGCGGCAGCCGCCTGACTCCCTTTTACCCCTCTTTCATGCACACACATGCTGCTAAGGAACCTGACCCTGACCAAACCAAGTCAGCAGCAGTTGTGAGAGATAGCCAGTGTGGATAAAATGGTCAAGGTACACTTTTGTTTCTCATGCTCAGAACTCTCTCACACAGAACAAAAAACTGTGTCCTTACACATCTAATCCCACCTCTTTCATAAAACAACTCCGATAGATTACCCAATCTTATAGTCTCACCTTTCATGATATTTTTATCATCCTAACTGACAACCTACTTCCTGAGGAGCACAGGCAAGTTTGGGAGCCCGAGTACATGCAGATGAGGTTCACCAGACTAATGCAGCACATCGCCCTGGGGCAGAAGCGGTCCCTGAGTGGGATCCACACTGGGATTATAACACCCCAGGTGCTATTTTAGCTAGAGACCAGTTTACGACTTGCCTCCTGGTGCATATTCTTAAGGCTGCCCTCAAGCCAGTAAACTCTGATAAACTCTTAGATGTTGTTCAGGATCCAAATGAAAATCCATCTGCATTCTTAGAACTTGTCACAAAGGTTCTCTTGCAGTACACTAATTTAGATCCAGAGATCTAAATTTTGACCTCTGGGGAGGGCAAACAGCTCCTCATGACCCATTTCTTTTCCCAGAGCTTCCTCAACATTAGGTCTAAACTTAAGTGTTTGGAGAAAGGCCCCTTGATATCCCACAGGCAGAAGTTTTAGGGATGGCTTTTAAGGTGTACCATGGAAGGCATGATAGGAACCATAGACAGAAATGTCAAATGCTGGCCAAGGCCATTCCACCGGCTTAGGCAACTGACAACCCTGTCCATGTCACTCCCTTGTGCCCTGGGGCCCATGTTTCAAATGTGGTAAAACTGAATATTGGGCCTGGGAATGCTCTAATCCTCATATTGGTCCAACAATACTGGGTCCAAAGTGCCACAGTGAAGAGCATTTGGTGATCGTGTCTCGTGCACATTGTGGCATGGAGACATCAGACTCAGACAACTCCCAAATCAACCTTCTAGGTCTAGCCATGGACGACTGAGGTTGCCCAGGCTCCTTTGACCTGACCACAACTGTCATCTGTAATAGGGAGCCATGGGTAAATATCATAGTATCTCCCTTCTCTTGGACACCAGAGCCACATACTTAGTATGGAGAGAGTTTGGGGGACCTACATCTCCTTCTAGTTTCCCTATTCTTGAGGCAGGGGGGCAGCATTACCTACCTCATCAGATCCCACCACACAATTGTATTTTCGGGGGTATTCCTCTCACTCATTCATTTTTAGTCATGCCAACTTCCCTGTACCTCTTATGGGAGGAGATTTTTTAGCTGAAGTGGGAGCTTCTATTTTGTTTGCTCCTTCCGGTCACCTCACCCCAGGCCCTCCAACAGCTCCTCTCTGCCTCCTCCTAGCCTTCCAACCTCCCAGCTTCAATGTGTCTTTTCCTCTCTGGTGGATCCCCAAGTCTAAGACAACCAAAACCCCTCTGTTACTAGACACCATTCCCCTATTGTCACCCAATTACAGGATCCTACCAGGTACTTTACCCAAGCTCAGTACCCACTCCTACTCCAGAGTCTTAGGAGACTTAAACCTATTATCTTTGACCTTCTAAGAAATAAGCTACTTCGCCCCACCTCTTCTCCTTTTTACACTCCTATACTTGCAATTAAAAAGCCTAACAGAGCCTATAGCCTGGTTCAAAACCTCCAGCTCATTAATTCTGCAGTGGTCCCACTTTATCCTGTAGTACCTAATCCTTACACACTTCTTCCCACTATTCCTCCAGGAACCTCCCACTTCTCAGTTCTGGATCTCAAGGATGCCTTTTTCTCTATTCCTCTCAGCTCTCAATCTCAAGATATCTTTGCCTTCACCTGGAATGACCCTAACACTCAATTCTCCACACAGCTTACCTGGACTGTCCTTCCCCAGGGATTCCAAGACAGCCCATACCTGTCAGGCTTTAGCTTCTGATCTACTCTCACTGTCCCTCCCTAAGTCTAAACTCATATTGTATGTAGATGATAATTTACTTTGCAGTCCATCCCTAGAGATCAGCAAAACTGATACCTCTGCTCTTTTAAATTTCCTGTCCAAAAGGGGCTATAGAATCTCACCTTCTAAGGTCCAACTGTCTACCTCTCTGGTCATTTACTTGGCATTAACTATTATTACCCCAACCCAAGAAGCTATTACCTTAGACAGGAAAAAACTAATCAAGTTTTTTCTTGCAGTACCTTCTACAAAAGAGGAGATTTTATTGTTCCTAGGAACAGCTGGCTTCTTGTATTCCTGGATCCCCTCTTTTTCTCTTCTTGCCCACCTCTTATACAAAGTTGCTCTCGGTTCTATGCATGAGCTCCTCCCCCATCCCATTACTAAGCCCTTCCAGAGGTTTCAACAGGCCCTTATCCAGGCTCCAACTCTCCGTCTCTCAGAGCTAACTCCTTCTTTCTCTCTCTATGTAACAGAAAAGGAGGGATATGCCTTTGGGGTTCCTATGGCATCAGTCGGGACCTTCCCTTGCACCTGTAGCATACCTGCTAAAGAAGCTGGACCTTACCACTGGGGGCTGGGCACCCTGCATATGTGCTTTTGTGGCCGCTGATCTCACTAACCTTTGGGTCACCCATCACTGTCTTCTCCCACCATAACCTGTCCCATTCCTTAATTTACAAAGGCTTACAAACTTTACCTCCTTCCCGAGTGCTTTCCCTCCAGGTGGTACTAGTGGAAGATGACACACTCGCTTTCCAATGCTTCCCACCCCTTAATATCTCAAATCTCCTACCTCAACCTAATATTCCCCATCTCACTCTTGCATAGAAACCTTAGAGGAACTACTGCCCCACCCCTCACATATACACGAAGGCACATTGGCCCAGGCCACTTATACCTGGTACACAGATGGCAGCTCCTTTTTATACAAGAGGATCTGTAGAGCAGGTTATGCCACAGTGTCAGATACTGGGGTGGTGGAGGCACAGGCACTCCCTGCCCGTACCACTAACCAGCAGACTGAATTAATAGCCCTCACCAGTGCCTTCCAGTTGGCATAGGGACAATCCTTAAAGGTTACAGACTCCAAATATGCCTCTCATATTCTCCTGTCCCACACAGCTATCTGAAAGGAGAATGGGCTTCTTACAATGAAAGGAGGATCCATAACTAACTCAGGCCACATTATGGACATGTTAAAGGCCTCCCATCTCCCCAAAGCTATAGGAATTATTCACTGTCGGTCTCATCAGACCAACAGCTCCATTATTTCTAAGGGAAATAACCAAGCTGACCAAGCAGCCAGGGCATCAGCACTCCGGGGCCCAAACTTACTTCAATCACTTCTGGGGGTTCATACAGCACAACCCACATTCTCATAGACACCCCCTGACACTCAACAAATTCTGTCCTACCTACATCAGCTCTTTCATCCTAATAGCCAGGCTCTGTCTCACCTTGTCAAGGCTCACCTCCAAACCACCCCTGAGAACTTAAGAGTTCTTAGAAAATATCACTGCATCTTGTAAAATCTGTCAAAAGTCAGATCCCAAGTCCAAATCCCGTAGCTTCCCTTTAACCACCGACCAGGCCAGCGGCTCCCTTCCAGGAACTGACTGGCAGCTTGATTTTATTCATATGGTCACAGTCAGAGGGGTTAAATATCTTTTGGTTTTGGTAGATACAATGTCTGGATGGATTGAAGTGTTTCCCACCACTAACAAGCGGGCCCGGACAATTTCTGATGTCCTTCTCTGGGAAATTATCCCCTGGCTTGGAATTCTAACCTCTCTTCAGTCAGACAATGGCCCAGATCCCTCAAACTTTGTCTAAGGCTCTTAACATTCCCTGACATTTTCATATCCCATACCATCCTCAGACCTCAAGGAAGGTAGAATGAACTAACCGTTTCTTTAAAAATACTCTTGTTAAGATGTCACAGGAATGTCACCTTGACTGGGTAAAGCTTTTGCCTCTGGCTCTCTTTGGGCTCTCGGCCCTCCCCAAAAGACCCCTTTCCATCTCACCCTTTGAACTCACGTATGGGTGGCTGGTTTTGACTCCCACCTCTCACCTAAACCCTCACACCATCTCTGATTACCTGCTTACCCTATTGTTCCCCCTTATGGGATTTTACTGACTACTCAAAACTTCAACCATGCACCAAGCCCTGCCCGCCTCCAATTAAAATCGGGGACCAGCTCCTTTTCTCTCACCTAGACCAACGCCTCTCATGCCTTTCTCCTAAATGGCAGGGCCTCTTTAAAGTAATTCTTGTGACTTCCACAGCTGCCAAGCTCAAGGACCTCCTCCTTCAATGGATTCACCAGTCTCACCTCAAACCTTTTCTTCTTCCAGCTCAAGACACCCTCTCCTCCTATATGGTAACTCAAACAGGGCCCTGTTCCCTTAAGTCCCAGAGGACGCCAAGATCAGTTGCTTTGTCTCCAGTTCCAGAAGAATAAAGTCTCCCTCCCGTACTTAACTCTCCTGTACCAGGAACCCTATGTGTTCTCCTTTCTGATTACCCCTTTATTCTTCTTTCTCCTGTCTGCTTTACCAGTTTCTCTGTATCTCCAATGCCATACTTAAATTTCCAGTTAACTATTCAGCTGTTGTTACAGGGACTATCATTAAATAGTTGGAAGTGCATCATGGTCCCCAGACTATTATTGTTTCTTACCATTTGGACATTTGCACCCCAAATTCCAAGGGAGACTCACAAAATATTTTTGACATAATAGGTTTATCACTGACTACAGCAGTGTTTCCTGGATATTAAGGTATTACCATGATGGTAAAAGAAACAAGTGCCTTAAGATTTGCTTCAGGCAAAATATTAAAAGGTCTAATAATTCCCCTTTCTTCCCTTCCCTCCTCTCTCACTATACAACTATCAATAATTTTCTATTCCAACACGATACTATCATAACCATGAGTTTTTAAAGTGTCTAAAATTTATCTTTTTATAAATTTCAACATGTCATAAGCTCCAGAGAGCTAAATTGGACCCACCGGAACAGACCAGACTGGCCCAGGGTAAGTATCATTTAACTCTTCCCTGGTCATCCAGAATAAGAATCATTTAATTCTTCTCTGGTCTTGGGACCCCTGGGAAACTCCCTCCTCCATTTCAGGAGCCCTGGGGAACCCCACTCTATCCTCCATCTTGGGGCCCTCCTCCCTCAGTCACCAGGATCAAATTTTTTCTAAACATAATATTCTACCTTGCCAGCATCTTGTCAGGTCCAAACTGCCAGACCGACAGTTACACAAAGCCTGGAAAACACAAAAGTAACCAGCTACCCCAAGACGCGGCCAAGCACCCCAATTCTCTGGCACTCACCAGCCATCAGGAAGTAGCTCTCTAGAGATCCAACACCCTATTTCCACACATCGGCTACCCCTAGCCCCCCCCACACAAATTTTTATAATAAACAAAAGGGTGAAATGTTATCATTTCTACCACCCAGCAGTTTGACAAAATGTCTAGCCACCCCAAGTGCTGGCACTTCCAGGTTCCCTGGCCGTGCATGTGCCATCAAGAGCTCAGGCAACTTACATAGCCACCCAGGGCCCTCAAGCCCTACGTGACCTATGTGTAACGTGGTCACATGATTTATTCATGATGCATATGTAAGCCCCTGTGCACATGTGCTAGGCAGCCTTTAACTGTCCTACACGCATGCCCAACTCTCTCTTCCTGCACCAACTTCCTCAGGCCTGTGCACGTGTCTTTCTCTCTCTCAATAAACTCTTAAAGTGGGTTTTGTGGTCTGTCTCATGATCTGTTCTCGGTCGCACCCAGTAGTTTCAGAATGTCTTGTTTAGAGGTGCCCAGCTATTATAAACGTGTCTTTTTAGGGACGTGTTTTCTTAGGACCTGGGTGAAGGGCAGGCATTCACATATCTTCCCCTTACAGAAACAGAGAGTTTCACTTTAGAGATGTCAGAGACAATCAGAAATTATACTTTATCAACTTTGTTAAATGTCACAGGGAAAAGGTCACATTTGCCACCGTTGCCTTATAAGACAGGGACTTTCAGCACGCCATGCTCTTTGTTTCCACATAGACCTGTGTGTGCGGCATCTACATGGCCTGCTTCGGATCACAGTCCTTGTGGATCTTGGCAGAGGGACAATAAGATTTCTACCCTGTAAGAATATGAAAGCCCGGGGCCTCAGAGAGGCTTCTGCAAGGATGCTCCTAACAGCCTCTTCATAATATCCCAAGCGGGAAATGCCAAAGAAAACACACAAACAAATTTGGGCTATTCAGACAATGTATATACTCATTAGCAATAAAAAGAAGCCAACTGGCACTGCATTCCTCACTGTGAGTTAATTGCAAAGTCATTCTGTGGAGGGATGGAAACTTCACAGCAAAGAACATGCTGGGAAATCCTACTTATACAGCACTTACAAATCAACCTAAATTATCTTTGAAAAAAAGGGGCTGCCTTGATGGGTAGTGGGCAGAAAGGACACAGAGAACCTTCGCAGGCTCCTGTTTGAGTTCTGTGTCTCCATAAGACTTTTTAAAAGTAATTTATTTCACTTTATTTTATGTGCATTGGTGCGAAGGTGTTAGGTCCCCTGAAACCGGAGCTACAGACAGGTGTGAACTGCCATGTGGGTGTTTGGAACTGAATTTGGGTCCTTTGGAAGAGCAGCCAGTGCTCTTAACCACTGAGCCTTCTCTCCAGCCCCTCCACAAGGTTTTTATTGTAAAAATAATGCAGTTAGCAGGATTCATCAAAGGGTGCTCTTAGGATTTGGGCCTTTCCCAATAAATTTTATCTTAAATAAGAACTGCAAAGGACATTGAGCCCTAGTTAATGACCATGTGATCAAATATCAAGAGGATATAAACTGAATGAATGTAGGTTTTCTCCAGAGTGCTTGCCACTTCCTCCTGAGTCTTTGAATTCACTGCTTGGGGCATTCTAAGACTTTTCTTATTTGAGTAATTTGAAATTACTCCTCAAGGGCCCAGCAACTGAGTGAGGCTTTTCCCTAATATTAATATTGAGGAGGCAGAGGCAAGCAGATCTCTATGAGTTCAAGGCCAACATGATCTGTCTATACAGCAGGCTCTAGACCAGCCAGAGCCATACAGTGAAACCATGTCAAAAAAAAAAAAAAAGACAAATGGCAAGCAAATTCTTCAGTCTCTCCTCATTGCCTAATTTCAATACTACTTCTGAATATTTAGGGATATGGTAGGGTTATATCCAACTATCAGCAAACTTATTCATTGCTTACCAATGGGGTGCATCCTGAGAAATGTGTTGTTAGAATCTTCTCACTGTGAGACCATCAATGTACTTACAGACTAAGTCAGCTGCAACCCTACACAGTAATGCCATCTTATGAGACCGCTCTCATACATGTGGTCTGTCACTGTCATGAAGACTATTACATAATTCCTCACTATTCCAAAATATGTACGACTCTTTACTTCTCTGAGAACAAATTACCAAACATTTAATAGCTTTAAACATCACGAGTTTATTTCACAATTATGTCAGTTCTATATCTGATGTGTATCTCACCAGTCTCAAGTCTAGGTGTCCACAGCCCTTCATCTGTTCCTCGAGAAGAGCCAATTCCCTTGCCTTTTCCAGGTCTTCAAGGTCACCCAAGTTCCTTGGTCCCTTCCTGCATCCTCAGACCCAACAGTCTTGAATCCTTCTGGCGACTCCTCCACAGTCATTTCCTCTCTCTGTATCTAAGAAAGACTTCTCATTTTTTTTGTTTGTTTGTTTTGTTTTTTCAGACAGGGCTTCTTTGTGTAACCTTGGCTGTCCTGGAACTTGCGCTGTAGACCAGACTGGCTTCAAACTCCCAGAGATCTGCCTGCCTCTGCCTCTTGAATTCTGGAACTAAAGGCATGCACCACCACCACCTAAAAAAAGTTCCCCAATTCTTCAGACCCATAAAATCAGAGTGGCCACCCCTACACCAACAGTCAGACAATGCCCCGACCAATCAAGGCCTTATCTTAATCGTTTGTGTAGAAGGTCTTTGTCATTAGGAATACAGGTTCTAAGGGCAAGGAGGAACTCAGGGGAGGTCACCAAAGTCTACCCCATTGTCACACACAAAAGCAATAATAATTCTAGGAGTAAATAACTTATCAATAACACCAAAAGCACATAAACTCTCATACGTTTCCTTACTTCTCTTCCCCCTGGATTTTCTTACAGTGGTGTTGTTTCCAGTCTCCACGGTATCTAGAAAACAATAAATGGCAATGAGGTAAGAACTATTGAAGCGAAATTACAAATCTTAGGACACTGCAAAGGCCTTGCTTACATCAGTGTTCAAACCGTCATTCCTTTCCTCCTTCTAGAAGAACCCAAGGCTGCTGAACTGAGAACTAGGAATCCAGGGAGGGCACTGGTCATTTTTGACCTCACACCCCCAATGGGACATTTTAAATCTTTACATATTTTTTTTGCACAAATAAAATACTAATTTTGTGGGAAAATTTCTAGGCAAGCCCTGATTAGTTCATTTGACATTTGAGGAGTCTGGTTGGAAATGCACACTGGGTTGAGAAGAGTTGGCCTGAACTCTTTTCCTCCTCACCAGCAGCGGGCTCATACTAGATCGGGTCCTTCCTAAGGCCCTGACAAAGCAACTTTACTGTCCAGCTGCAGACGTTTACCTGCTGTCTTGGGTGACAGGGAAGAATGGGAGCAATTCAGTTCACCAAGGTAGCACACAAGGTAAGTACCAGTTTTAAGAATGCATTGCTTCTACTTCATCCACATGGGATCAACCTCCTCCATCCTCTCCAATGCAGCTCTGCAAAGGGTTCCTGATTCTCTCCAGCTCCAAGTGGGCAAATGCAAAGAACTGGATTCAGGGATGGACTGGACCACAAGCTGGATGCTATGGCACTCACTGAGCCATGCCTAACCCACAACCTTGTGCAGCCTTGTCTATTAGTTACCTGTTTGGCTGCTTCTCATCCTTGCTTCCGGGTCCTCTGGCACGAATGCGGGGGAACACATGACACAGGAACACATCTCATTTTCACTTGTGGATGGCTCTGCTCCTGTGTCAAAATTGTGGGTATCAGTTTGTTTGTTGTTCAATTTTGCAATACTGGGTACCAAACTCAGGGCCTCACCCATTCTAGGCAAGCAGTCTACTATTGGGCTATACCCTCCCATGTTTTCTTTGTGTTCACTGTTAGACAGGGTGCCAACTAATTTTCCTGGATGGCTTTAAACTCACTCTAGCCCAAACTAGCCTTGAACTGGGGTCTTCTACTGTCATCCAGAGCATCTGACACATGGCCATTTCATATCTTAACTGAACCACCGCCTTTTCTTATTCCTCCAAAAATATTTTTACATTCTCCTTTAGTCTGACTTTCAGTTCCTCTTTTTTGTTTTTTCCTCTTCTGTCTTGCCCCCTTTATCAGAACGGCATCTGTGTGATTATTTTAGGGTACAGTCGCCTTCTCTGTCATGGAACAGCAGGCTTGAAGCAAGCTCTCTAGCCCCTTTCGTTCTTCACCCGGTGAGTAAGCATTCTGGCTAGTAACCCTAACTAAAGCATTGCTGTCCGTGGATCCTGAGACAGAGACAGATAAGAACTCTCTGACTGCACAGCAACGTAGATTCTGAACGAAGGAAGGAGCTATTTTCTGGGGAAACAAACAAACAATCAAATAAAAAACAACAAAAACTCAAAAACAAACAAAACCTGCTGCAGCAGTCACACCCAGGATCCAATGGAGCTATCTCTGTCCACAACACACATTATTTTTCATTTTTCCACCTTTAATTTGCTACGTGTAGTTGTAAGGAGATTTTCAAAATTCTTATCTTCTGTGATGAAAAATAAATCTGTTATTTGAAAATAGTAAAGGATAACTTTTGCTAGTTTTACCAGTTTCAAACCCATCCCAAATTGGCCAATGACTACCTAATCACTAAAGATGCATGTGAAATCCAGCCAATCAGCAGCAGTCACCCTCCAAACGCTGGGTTGGTGCCTCCCTAGCAGCCTATGCTAAGCACTTCTGCTTTGTAGAGTCTAAGCCCCTGAGCTACCTTCTTCTTTAAGCTCCAGGTGAACCTAGCTGTGGCCTAGGAGCCATGTGCTTTGAACACAATCTTTCTTCCCACTCCTGTCAGGGCCTTCACTTAGCAAGCTTTCCATTTCAGACATGGGACTGATTATCTCACTTCTAAGTATGGTGTTCCCGCCAAGATTCTCTGAAGACTTTCTGGGAGTGCCTGCAAGTGTAAATTCTTGACCTCTTCTACACAGCTCGGGTGCAATGTTCGTAAACTACTGTCAACTGACTTGGTTTCAACAGCAACTTGTTTCGTTATGCTATTTCTGAGTTAGGTTAGGTAAAGATGCATATGCAATTTGATGTAAAGAAATTGCTCTCCAGGAGGCATCAAGATCATGATGGGGAAACCCACAGAGACAGCTGGCATGAGCTTGTGGGAGCTCAGAGACTGGACTGACAGCTGGGGAGCTGGCGTGGGATTGACTTTTGGGTGACAGTTTGATCTGTTTATGGGGGTCAGGACCTGTCCCTGACGCATGAGCTGGCTCTTTAGAACCTATTCTTTATGGTGGGATGCCTCACCCAGCCTTGATGCAAGGGGGAAGCGCTTGATCCTGCCTTAACATGATATGCCATGCTTTGCTGACTACCATAGAAGGCCTTACTCCTTCTGAATGGAGATGGAGGAGGAGGGATAGGAGGGTAGGGCAGAAAGGAGGTGGGGGAGGGAACAGGAGAAGAAGAGAGAAGGGAACCTCTAGTTGGTATATAAAATAAATAAATAAATTTTAAAAAAGAAATTGCTGTCTTAATTTGTAGGTACAATATTTAGCAAATATTCTGTGTTTATTCTTGCTTCATTTCATCTCATTAACTTTTAAAGTCTTTTATCTTGTGTCTGCTCCTGATTCGTTCTGAATATTGGAAGATAATGACCCCCATACACACCAAATAGATGGAAACAAAGGTGGAACACGTCCCCAAGCCAAGCCATTCTCAAAAGCTAATGAATGTGGATCCACCCATCAGGGGCCAAACACTGTGCAAAGACTCTTGGTCCTACCCTAACTTGGGACATTCACAGACATGTGGGGCCTTGTCAGTCTGTGAAATAAGTCGTCTTTCTCACTGTGTATGCAATCGCGGGTCAACTATTGTCATGGAATCAGTCATGTGTCCCCTTTCAGCCTCTATTTCTCACAAGAACCCTAGTACTTCACACATGGCAACACACTCTTCACCCTTATAACCAAGCATCCTCTTTCCATTTATCACGGGGTTCTTTTTTCAGAGCCGCAGCCTCCTATGACAGAGCTTTCACTTCCTTCTTGTGCTCTCGCAATGACTCTGCCTCAAGCCCCTAATACATGGCAGGAGCTCACTAATAATTCCACTCCACAATGGGGGAACTCCACATGTTTGTCAAGTAGCTCTAGAAAACAAGAGAGGAGGTCTCCAATGTTCCCATGTCCCCACTAGTAGTTGTCATTCCAGACCATGCTCTGGAGAACGTTGCATTCTTTGACAAACCCCTATAACCTTGAGGTTGAGACTTTTCTGCAAAATGAACCTTCAGGTTAAGCAAACACAGGCATCTTTCAGAGGTCTGGAAAGGTTCACCTGTGCATGTGTCTGTATAATCAGTCTGAGCCATCAGCCCCTACCTAGGTGTGGTGCAGGTCCTCAGCCCGTCCCCAAAGTGCCTGATCATGGTAGTCTCTCTGTCTCTTCTAAGGGAGAGACATCCTTGTCTTAGCACATTCATGGTCTACTTTTATTTGGTGAACCCTGTAATGTCACTTGCTTGAGAAATCAGTGGCTCCTCCAGACATTTATTTTCTATAGGGTGTCTTGAGCTCTCTGGTGTTAAGTAGAATTCTAAGATAGTTCTCTAAGAGCTTCTTCCATAATCGTGGAGACTGTGAACGTGATAAGCTCTTAATCGTGTGCTTAGCTTAGGTCATGTGGCAGAGCTGGCCTTAAAAGAGAGCATGCCTCAGAGTAGGCCTGGTCTAATCAAATAAGCCCTTTATAAGCAGTGAAGTTTTTTTTTTTCCAGCTGGTAGCAAAACAGAAAATCAGAGACTGGAAGCATGCAGAAGGTTCCAGAGCCTCTTGCTCCCTTCAGGATGGAGGGTGACTCCTGTCAGAGAAAATGAGTAGCTCTGGCGAGCTGAATGATCCATATCAACAACCAGTAGCAAAGTTGTATTCTCCGTGCTACAACCACAAGGAGCTGGATTTCATAAATAAATAAATGAATAAACAGCTGGATAAAATAGGTTGTAGGAATTCTCTCAGAGCCTTCAGAGAAAAGCTCAGCCTGGCTGACATGGTGATTTCAGCCTGGAAAGACTGAGAAGGGAGCTACCCTGAGCATGCCCAGAAATCTGAACTGTGGTGCTGAGATAATATATGGATGTCTAGTTAAGCATGTATATGCAGCATAATTTGTTAAATAATGAATAAGACTTGCATGTCGTCTCTGTTCCAATATACACATCACTTCCTTGTAGCTGTTACTAAGCTGACAAGAAACTAGTAAGAACGAATTCTAGTTTTGTGAAAGTCTGTTCTATCTTCTCAGTTACACTCTATCAGCCAAAGAAATTATAGTATCCAAAAATTACTCATATACAATGATTACAAGGCAAACAAGATTTCTCTAATTCACAAGGCCTTTAAGAAAGTGAAACAATACTTTCTGACATGATCTTCCTATGGTAGATTTTTTTTTTTTTACTTAAAAATTTCCACCGCCTCCAATCCTCCTATTTCCCTCCCCCTCCCTCTCCAGTCCAAAGAGCAGTCAAAGTTCCCTGTCCTGTGGGAAATCCAAGGTCCTCCCCGCTCCATCCAGGTCTAGGAAGGTGAGCATCCAAACAGACTAGGCTCCCACAAAGCCAGTACATGCAGTAGGATCAAAACCCAGTGCCATTGTCCTTGGCATCTCAGTCAGCCCTCATTGTCCGCCACATTCAGAGAGTCCTATTTGATCACATGCTCCATCAGTCCCAGTTCAGCTGGCCTTGGTGAGCTCTCATTAGATCAGCCCCACCATCTCAGTGGGTGGGCACACCCCTCGCAGTCCTGACTTCCTTGCTCATGTCCTCCCTCCTTCTACTCCTCATTTGGACCTTGGGAGCTCAGTCCAGTGCCCCAATGTGGGTCACTGTCTCTAGCTTCATCCATCACCAGATGAAGGTTCTGCAATCTATAGATTCAATGCAATCCCCATCAAAATCCCAACAAAATTTTTCACAGACCTTGAGAGAACAATAATCAGCTTTACATGAAAAAACAAAAAACCCAGGATAGCCAAAACAATCTTATACAATAAAGGTACTTCCGGAAGCATTACCATACCTGATATCAAACTCTATTACAGAGCTACAGTAATGAAAACAGCTTGGTATTGGCACAAAAACAGAGATGTTGATCAATGGAATCATATAGAAGACCCGGATTTTAACCCACAAACCTATGAACACCTGATTTTCAACAAAGGAGCTAAAAGTATACAATGGAAGAAAGAAAGCATCTTCAACAAATGGTGCTGGCATAACTGGATATCAACCTGTAAAAGAATGAAAATAGATCTATATCTATCACCATGCACAAAAATCAAGTCCAAACGGATTAAAGACTTCAATATAAATCTGAACACACTGAACCTGATAGAAGAGAAAGTGGGAAGTACTCTACAACACATGGGCACAGGAGACCACTTCCTATGTATAACCCCAGTAGCACGGACAATAAGGACAACATTGAATAAATGGGACCTCATAAAACTGAGAAGCTTTTGTAAAGCAAAGGTCACTGTCATTAAGACAAAAAGGCAACCTACTGACTGGAAGAAGATCTTTACCAACCCCACAACAGACAAAAGTCTGATCTCCAAACTATATAAAGAACTCAAGAAACTATACCTTAAAATGCTAATTAACCCAATTAAAAAATGGGGCACTGAAGTGAACAGAGAATTCTCAACAGAAGAAGTTCAAATGGCCAAAAGACATTTAAGGTCATGCTCAACCTCCTTAGCGATCAGGAAAATGCAAATCAAAACAACTTTGAGATATCATCTTACACCTATCAGAATGGCTAAAATCAAAAACACCAATGATAGCCTTTACTGGAGAGGA